ATGCGCAGTTGATATAGAGCGTTCTGGTTTATTGAGGATAATTTCGGACTTATGAATCCTCTGTTCTGGCTTCGACTGCGAAATGATCCTAAACTGTTTTGAACCGTTCCGAATCGTTCTTGCTATCGAGGCTGAACTGTTGAGAACTGTTGCTCATGCGCATTCCTGTGGAAATTTGTTTGGGCTATTTGCTAGGATATTTTTTTATTTATTTGATTTGAATAATTGATGATTGAGGGTAGATAACATTTGAACTGACTCTAGGGATACGCTACATGACAAAATGGACATGATTATTAGTATTTTCTCGTTTTCATCTCTTCATATACACGATAAGTGACACAATGGTCTCAAAAGCGTTTTGGTTTAAACAAGTGTCCGAGACTATTTCGGACTGTTTGAGAGTTTTTGTTTGTACGCACCATGTCTTGCGCAGTTTCCAAACAGTTTCGGATGTTAGAACCAGAACAAACCTATATACTATTGAAACATTTTTCCATTGAACATTTTTTGTAAGGATAAAACACAAGCACTACAGGAAATTCTTCGAAGCGCTCTAAGAGCGGAGCCTGTGCGAAAGTAGTTGTTCACATTGGATTTGAATCGCTGGAGCCTAAATCCATTTGGAAAAACGTTATTAGGAAGTTCATCCCACTAAAAAGCAGTTCTCTAATTGAAAGAGTGAAGTTCGAGGTGTACCCAGGTAGCCAGTAAACGTCATAATGACGTTAGTTTTTGGTGATATTTGAGTCAGATACGTCATGGTACCAAAAAATGATGTGATTTTGACATCACCAATAAATGACATCAGTTCAAACGACGTCATTATGACGTTATTTGTGTACCTCATACTGACATAAGTATCGATGGATGTCATCAATGGACGTCATTTAGACGTCACTTGGGAGCCTTTTAATTTTGTCATTATATTCTCGATAAACTACACGATGCGTGTAGTTTTAAATTTTTAGGCACTGATATTTCCATCTTATTTCCAACCTCCCTTGAATTTACCGCTACGACCAGATCACGAAATCAGACCAGACACAGAATCGTTGTGATTGGTCGGGATTTTTATAAAGAGTTTTGCGTTGCCGATGGTCGCGCCACCCATGCCCCATGTTCATGACTGGCCATAAACACGATGGTCTGGAATTGTGCGATTGTCGTTTCGTTTTTAATAAGTGGTGAAAGTGAAAAGTCATCCTCGTTTCGTTCAGGCTTGGAGTCCAGCTCCCCTACCCTTTCGGCTACCTATTGGTCTCGAGAAGGACCAATGTGTTCATGACTGATGGTATGACGGCATGAAGTCCTCAGACATCAGTGCCGCCCTTCACGGGATACCCCTACCTGGCTGGGGTGGGATGGATGAGAAAGTTGTTCATCCGTTAACGGGGGACATGAGGGCCTCATTCGACAGAGTGTCGGGGCCTTCTATATCGGGAGGGATCGTCTACAGCATAATCTGTGGCTTCCCTAATTAACGGATTTTTATGAGTTTCCGTACTTTCAAAAACTCTCTGATTCCTCGACTGAATGGACTGCCGAATGGAAGGCAGCTGCAAATCTCTGCGGATGGCTTCGTTCCGCACGAACCAAGGGGCATTCACAATCATCCTAATTAGCTTATTTTGTAACCTTTCCAGAATGGAAAGCCGCTTGTCCCTAGATGCCTGAAGCATACATAATGACAGGCTCGAACATCGTGTTATAGATGGTGATTTTATTCTTCGTGCTTAGTTTGGATTTTCTATTGATCAGAGGGTACAGACTAGCTATCCGACGCACATGAAGTGGTGAAAGTGTTATTGCTTGTCTAGTATTTTTCTTCTACAGGTGAAGTATATTGTGTTATTCGTCTTATTTCACTTATTCTAATGATAATTTCAACAGCTTTTTTGATCGAAAGCCATGTTTGTTGTTGTGGAATTTGAAGGAAGCTGTGGTGGTGGTTTAGCAATAGTTTGTAATAATTGGCTCACTTCACGGAAAAATGAGGTATTCTGGCCACCGTATGAGGAAAACCCTCATTATTTGCGAGCTCTCAAAAAAGGAGAAGAATTCAACACTGAAACATGGAAAATCTTCAATGTTTCCAGAATTTTCTATGATAGTGGTACGTTCAAATATTATTTTGCAGGATATTATTTTTGATCCGTCTTTCATTTCTAAAAAAAGAGAGTGTTTTTGCCCTCATAAATAAATTCACTTGACAAAATCATCATTGATACAGCATTTTTTCATATTCCAACTTTTCATCAGTATGTAGTTTCCTAACCTTACAAAACATTCATCAGCATTCAGTGATCTCATCTCATACACAGCTTTTATTGTAGTCAACTATTTAAGTTCTATTGAAATTTTCTGTTTTTGAATATGACATTTATATTACATCTCTTCTGTTTTTGCTGAGAAGTTTGAAAATTACCAATATTGAATGTATGTTTGATTATGGTATGAAGTATATTCAGTGATATGAAATGAGGAAAACGAGAGGAAAATAAGCTATGATATGTTGCTAAATCAGACTATAGAAAGAAGGTGGAATTTCACACTTTTTTGTTGTGGAATTCGTGTTCCTGAGATCAATAGATAACTATATTCCATGAATATATTTTTCTAAATATGGATCACATGAGTACATAATTGCCATTGTAGATTTGATTCTACTTATCACGGTCTCCCAAACATGGTTCTAAAGTTAAATGCAGCCACACTAAGCTGATCATGAGACATATTAAAAAAACATTTAGTTTAGGTACCCACTCTGATTTAAGTCAATAATAAAATTCTCAAGGCTTTTTATTTTCCATTTTTCTCCTTCCTCATAATTTAGGATATATCACTTTTAAGAATTTATTTTTTCAATGAGAGCTGTCGAAATATCGATATTTTCAAAATAATGTTCTAATATGGACAATGGAAATAAATTTGAATAAATGATTAGGTGGAAACAGCATACTACGAAAATTTTCTTCTTGATAATTTTTTCATATTTCAGATGATTATGACAAAACTTATTCCAAACTGAAGTTGGCTGAATTGTATTCAGATATTCAAAGTGATGGAGAAGAGGATTCACTTCAAAAGAGACAAAGGATACTACCTCGGCGACTATCATTTAGTGATGATGAATTAAATGAATCTCAACCACTTCGCCCACCACCTATGAAAAAAGTTCAACATGGTAAATATTTCAATAATACATTTCAATAATATATCTATATGAATAACAAATGTTGCAGAACAATCAGTAAATCGTAGAGTTGATTCGAGCAAAGAAGATTTAGACATAACTCAGTCAGTATATACCTCAGGTTCAAAATCTGGCAACATCCACTACCACACACTCTTGAGGGTCTTCATTGCAAAGATCAATATTTTTAGGAGAGCCTGCAGGTAAAATCATCTATTCAGTTTTTCTTTTGATTTTTAATGGAGAAATGTGAAGTAACTAAATCAGTCATAATTTGCCTATTTAATAAATATTTGATTACCAGGTACCTTTTCTTATGAAGAAACAATATCATTTCAGAATATTCAACAAACCATAGAATTGAAGTTTTGGGGCAAAAAGATTCAGAAAGATCTCACTCACTAGGTGTTCCAAGTCTAAAATCTGACCATCCAATTTGCGCTTCTTCACAATCATTAGGAACCCCTTCAAACAAATCTAGATATATAAGTGAGCAGCACATTGGTGATTATTATTCATTTATTGAGTTTGAACTTTATATTGATGAATTTATACAGCATTTCAGACTATTTTGTACCAAATCAATCAACTAAAGGAACAAAACAAGTTGATAATTTCTCTGTTGAATAAACGAATTGATGAAAATGTTGTTAAGGCCAGATTACCTGATAATCTACCTATTCCATTGCCTATCAGAAATCAAAATGATTTTACTCTATTAGAGGAGTATCTTGAGAATCCAAAGAACATTGATTTATTGGTTAGTTCAAATTTTATCTTCCCAACAGATTGCTCAATATTTTTTTTTTAGATTTCATATTTTTCTACCAAAGGTGGAAAAGATATAACAGCAGCTACTAATCGAATATTAAGAAGTATTTTCACTGATGCTGTTGCAAGTAATTTCAGTTTTTTTGGAAAAAGATTAGACAAGAAACCTTTCTGTGATACTAAAACAAAAACTTTGGTAGTTGGTAAGTGTACCATGTTCATGTTCAATTACTTAGATTGAATAAACAATTGATTCTAAATTTCAAGATTACAAGACCAAATTTTAGTAGAGTATTTATTAACTCGATTTCCCGTCAGAATTTTCCATAGTTAACTGTGTTACTTATATAAATATATTTGTTTTTTTCCAAAGGACAGTAAAAATAATCAGGGAAGGAGGATTATGTGATTGAGGACATAATAAAAATCTGGTTGAAACATGCTCCACAACGCATGAAAAACTCAAAATCCAAGAACATTTCGGATAATTAGAGTTGAGGACGCAGATAGTAAGGGAAAGCCTTTCCTTTTTGATGAACACCAGAGGAAAAACATCTGATGGTAGCCATTTGGAAGTAATTTACTTTTTTGTAATTCATTAGGAGTTTATTGTATTTAGTATCTTTGAAAATTTCAAGTATTACAAAGAATGTGTGGGAGCACGTCAAAGGTATAGACGAGTGGCAAATGAAGTAAGAAGTACACTTCAAGGTATTGACAGTCATACTGTTGATGAAAATGAGGCTTCTAAATCAAATCCTAGTAAAGCACCTCTCAATTGGGAATTGTCTGCAGAATTATGTCAGATTATCATCTGATACTCCTGTAATCAATGAAAGGGTTTCTCCGGAGAATGACATCAATTCTGTATTAAAGCAGTGGGCACTGCAAAATAAAGTACCACATTCTGTATAAAATGATCTGCTTATCTTGCTATCTCCATTTCATCCAAGTCTACCATTAAATTCAAGAACTCTTCTGAAGACTCCAAGAAGTCCTATCGGTTTCAAAAAATTGGATAATGGTCATCTATGTTATTTTGGACTTGAACAATATTTGACACGTTTTCTGTCCACTTCAAAATTGAATGGTGATACAGTTAGGCTTTCTTCAAATATCGATGAATTACCTTTATATCATAATTCTGCTGTACAGTTTTGGCCAATTTTAGGGCTCATTAAAAATGATGGTGTGGTAATCAGTCCATTTGCGAAATCCATTTTCTGTGGCACAACAAAACCATCTCCACTGTCTTCCTTCTTTGAAGATTTTATAAATGAACTCAAGCATTTGATGAATAATGGCTTAGTTCATAACAACAAAAATTATAAAATTGAAATTCAAAATTTTATCTGTGATGCTCCAGCTCGAACTTTTATCAATTGTGTTAAAACTCACAGTGGATATTCTGCATGCGATTGTGTGTGTTGAGGAAGGTGATTACATCAATGGAAGAGTGATAATATATAGATGGACTTCAGCCCAAAAACGAATGGATGAGTCATTTTTATCATAGCAGGATCAAGAACATCACACAGGTTTATCACCTGTATCAGCTTTGGATGTTGGTTTAGTCAGTCTTTTTCCTATCGACTATATGCATTGTGTATGTCTTGGTTTTATGAAGAAACATCTTCTGTCTTGGATTAAAAGAAATTTGAAAGTGAGATTGAACAGCAGGCTAGTTACAACTATTTCTAATCATTTGATTGATATGAACATTTCTATTCCAAGTTATTTCAACAGGAGGCCCAGATCCTTAAATGAGTTAGCACGCTGGAAAGCTGTATTCGGGTCCAGTGGTACTCAAAGATATTGTTGATGAAGCTGTGTATGAGCATTTTATTTTCTTTCACTGTGGCATTTCAATTTCAGCTTCTGCTAGAAATATTTCGACTATTGGGATTGAATTGGCCAGAGAAATGTTGAATATATTTGTTACTCACTCTGAGCAAATATTTGGTCGGGAATTTCTGGTATATAATGTACAAATTGTCTCCCACTCAACTGATGATGTGAACAAATTTGGGCCTTTAGATACCTTTTCTGCCTTTCCATTTGAGAATGTTTTAGGACAGATTAAAAAATTGATTCGTTTTTCTAGAAAACCAATAGAACAGATTTATTGTCGCTTGAAGAAGTTCTCCCTAGAAAATAAATCGGCACGCAATAATTTGCTTGATAAAACTAATCTTTCTTTAGAACATTTTAATGGACCAGTCATCAATGCGATTGACTTCAAAAGGCAGTTCAAAAACATTTCATACAGGGGAATGCATTTTTCTGTAATATCACATTCAGAATCAAATGCATGTCTTATGAAAAATAATCACGTTTTTCGAATTCACAATGTAATTGTTACTTCTCAGAGGTCTACTTTTTTGATAGGCAAACATTTCACATGTTATAGGAAACTTTATTCTTATCCAATATCGTCAAAACGGTTACATATATACCTCATAGATGTCTAATCAGACTTGGAAATGTGGAGTGTTGATAACATACTAACAAAATGTTTGGTTTTATCTTTTAATGATGGAAATTCTGTGGTGTCGTTTCCCTTACTTTTCCATTTTCAGATGATTTAACAATAAGCTTTGCACGGACTGGTAATTAGTCGTATTAGGAAAAGCTAGATGAAGTTCCAGAAATTCACATAAGTTTTCAGTACTTTTTGAACATTTACCACAAAGTAAACAATTGAGGATTTTTCCAGCAAAAGATTTACAAACACAAGACGAGATGGGTTGTACGGAATCATTCAGTCCAGAGCGGCTGGGAGTATTGATTTTGCTATTGTTTTGCTCACGAAGAGTATTCAACAAGAACCCCAAGAATTCGGAACAATCCTCTTGTTGTTGATTGACAACTGAAATATTCGATGTAATACAAGGTACTCTCCGATATCAGTTTGTTGCCATTTCGCCACTATCCAAAGTTTTTCGTTGAATATATCAACATCTTCATATATATTTCCGGCTTTCAGCCATGTTGTCAAAAAAAAAATAAAGTTGTTGAATGGTTTTTATATTTATTGTGCCTTCCAATCCAAGCTAGGTACAAGTTATATCGTTCTTTTTGGTTTTGTCTTTTGCAACCTGGCACCCAACTACCAGAATTAGTCAAGTAAACTCATGGTTCATTCGATTAATAGTAAAAGAATCAGTAATAGCTATTAATCAGACCTGTGTTAAACTTACCCACACCCTCCCGTATCAAACTGAGCAGCCTATCAGCAAAAGGTGTCGGCATCCCAAATTTTAAAATATTCAATTTACCTTTTTGAAGATTTGGGTGTTAAAAAGCACGAAACAAAACACGAAACTGCTTTTGATTCATTGTTTTGAAAATAACAAAACCAGTGTCACTTAGCACAGTGACTCACAAACTTATTAGTAGAATAACAGCTTTCTTCTGAAGGTAATTAGCGACTGAAAAAGCGCCGAATGCAATAACACTAGCGCCGTCTATGTGCTAGGCCCAAGACTTTTCAACCCAAGTGGTATTTTAGAATGAAGTAGGTGATGTAGTAGATTAAATAAGAATAAAAAAAGTGAATGCAATGCATTTTCGTTGCTTTTCAAGAGCTCACAAAGAAGGTTTTAACAATACTTTAATGCACCGTGGAAAATATGTAACCTCCACTTTCTTTGAAATCCTTGCATATTATGTATGGTCATGTTTGGTGGATGAACTGAAAAAACCTGTGAATAATGTACAGCAAAACTGCAGCTTCCAAGCTTCACGGTCCGACAACTGATGACCTGAACATTTATAAAATTGAAACACTGTAGAGAAGATTGAATTTCTTTTTTATGTCTGTTCTCGCGATATCAGTAAGATAAAGTGGGTTAAAAATGTCCCTACCGTTTTCGTTTCCAGACTTCTCGAATAAAATATGTGGGTAATAAATTTTCCCTGCAAGATATCGATTTCTTTGTAAATGCTTTTTGAAAGAATACTTTCTAACGCTTTCCGCTACAAATCGTTCCAGGATAAACATAACCATAAAATTCTTATGTTTGATATCTTTATTCTTTGGATGCTGTGGAATCGAAATCGTTTTATCTTTTTGTGATTGTTTTTCTGAATATTTGATATGGTTGAATATGAAGTTCATTTTGTGTAACAGAAGCCGATTTATTTGAATTTTGATCACAATTTTGTATCTACTAAGATACCAATAGTCATAGCCGAAGCTTTTCACCAGGAAATGAAGTTCGGAATGTATATTCCAAACCAGTTGTTGAATAAAGGAAATATCACAGAATCGAATCCGTTCAATTAATAAATCAACCAATTAATATTTATATCCATTTGTCTACATGGATAACATGCATTGGAATTGCCAATTGGTAGATAAAGTAATGCATTGAAATGAAATTGGTATTCACATAAAAATAGTTAATCACAGTGCAATAATTTTTATAAAATCACATACAGTGTGACCAATTTTTAATGGAAACACCCACCTGAAATTTGAAGTTGTGAACCGATTTTAATTTTTTTTTTTGAAATATCAAGTACTGAAAGGTCTACTTTGGGACAAAATTTGGAATGTTTATTAAAGTTTCAGGGCATACTACGATATTTTTTCTTAGTCGAAAATCGGAATTTGGGACAAAATTTGGAATGTTTATTTTATTAAAGTTTCAGGGCATACTACGATATTTTTTCTTAGTCGAAAATCGGNGATTAGTAGAGGCTACTGGAATATGAGTTAGAATTAATTGTTGCACTGAATCGAAACATTTCAATAATTAGTTATTAGTTACGTTTATTGAAATTTTTGCCTTCATTGTTAGTTGAATTGCGTTATTATGTTTTTTTCATTAAAAATATTTACACTATTTGATTTTTTTTTGTGACTGTTAGCTGTGTGAGTTTTCGAAATTTTGAGTTATCATAACTTTGTTAATAATGAATATTTTTTTATGAAATTTTGGTCACACCTATTTAGAGGCACTCCGAATCCAGTGGCGTAGTGATTTTTTCAATAAAAAAATCGCTATAAAAAATCTCGATTTTCGACTAAGAAAAAATATCATAGGATGCCCTGAAACTTTAATTAACATTTCAAATTTTATCCCAAGGTAGACCTTCTAGTACTTGACATTTAAAAAAAATTATTGAAATCGATTCACAACTTCAAATTTTAGGGAGATGTTTCTATTAAAAATGGATCACACTGTATAAGGTTTGTTCTGCTTCTACGAAATTCAGGTTCTAGGACGTCAGGATCATGCGCAGTTGATATAGAGCGTTCTGGTTTATTGAGGATAATTTCGGACTTATGAATCCTCTGTTCTGGCTTCGACTGCGAAATGATCCTAAACTATTTTGAACCGTTCCGAATCGTTCTTGCTATCGAGGCTGAACTGTTGAGAACTGTTCCCGTTGCTCATGCGCATTCCTGTGGAAATTTGTTTGGGCTATTTGCTAGGATATTTTTTTATTCATTTGATTTGAATAATTGATGATTGAGGGTAGCTAACATTTGAACTGACTATAATACGCTACATGACAAAATGAACATGATTAATAGTATTTTCTCGTCTTCATCTCTTCATATATACGAAGGGTGACACAGTGGTCTTCTCAGAAGCGTTCTAGTTTAAACAAGTGTCCGAGACTATTTCGGACTGTTTGAGAGTTTTTGTTTGTACGCACCATGTCTTGCGCAGTTTCCAAACAGTTTCGGATGTTGGAACCAGAACAAACCTATATACTATTGAAACATTTTTCTATTAAACATTTTTTGTAAGGATAAAACACAAGCACTACAGGAAATTCTTCGAAGCGCTCTAAGAGCGGAGCCTGTGCAAAAGTAGTTGTTCACATTGGATTTGAATCGCTGGAGCCTAAATCCATTTGGAAAAACGTTATCAGGAAGTTTATCCCACTAAAAAGCAGTTCTCTAATTGAAAGAGTTATCGAACAGTGAAGTTCGAGGTGTACTCACGTAGCCAGTATACGTCATAATGACGTTAGTTTTTGGTGATATTTGAGTCAGATACGTCAGGTACCAAAAAATGACGTGATTTTGACATCACCAATAAATGGCATTTAGACGTCACTTGGGAGCAAAACAACAAACAAAACAACAAAATAAATTAAGAAACTGATAATAAATTTTGCGTTGGAAAACGATTCCTGTGGATATGATGTGTGTAATTATTTTGATCTTTCAAAAATATGTGTAAAATTCTAATCGTCCAATCAGATATAATTCGATCGGCGAAATGCAAAGTATTTCTACCATGTTCTTACAATGATTACAGTTATAACCGCCAATATTTGCGATTCGAATTGATAGCCCAGTACGGTGCAGGAACGTAATAAT